AGCAGAAAAAAAGAGTATTAGTTTTTAGAAGCTACTGTTTACTACTCAATAGTTGAATGCCACTTGAGAGTGCATGACAGGGTGTCACTTGATGGACTACTCTAAACTGCAGAAGCAAATCCCCTGATGATACTAGCAAAATAATCGTATATACTGAGGCCCAATTTTTCCATTAGTACACATGAGTTACTTGCAAACTGAGGGAATATCCTTCAAAGGTCTTGATTCTCTACTGCACTGTGCTGGCTTGAGATTGACGTAACTGAGTGGAAAAGCAACCCCAACTAATTCGGCTGTACAGCAGGATGGAAATATGATCAGAACTTCCAGGTGCCTGTACAGTCATTAAGATGCCCAAAGCTGGAATTGAATGACTTCATGCACCAAAGATGAACAGTGATAACCATCACCCAAATCAGCATTAATGAACCTGCTTCATTACACATGCATTTATTCACCTTGACTTAAAGCCTAAGTCTTAAGCATTACTGGATACTTAACTGTTACTAAAAATGTTATGTATTATTTATTTCAAAAACACTGAAGTGTTGAAAAGAATAGTGCCCTCAAGAAAATCCAGCCAACAACAGCACTTCCTTTCTTGTGCTTACTTCAGATTTAAGCAAGCTGTAGTACAGTTAAAACATGTACAATGGCATGTCCACTCTATGCGTTTTTTTTAAATTCTTTCCTCAAAGGCTTATCCTTGTTCCTTAAAACAGGGCAGGGGATGCTTACACTCACTAATGATCCAAAAATATCAGTGATGATTCCCTTTTTAAACTCTATTTAAGTACTGTGTTGGGGCATTGTAATTATGTATAGCTCTACATTTTGTACCTTTAATTATATTCAGGACATTGTTGGTTCATTTGCTTTCCAGATTCGTAAAACTTGCCATAATATCTGCAATGATACATTCCAGTTTGTGCATACAACTTCAATACAATAAAAACGTATCACACTTATTAATGGTGTTGGAGAAAGAAACTTCCAGAAGCGTTTTGTTTATTTAAAGTGTATCCATATTAGGATGGACATCAATGTCTGTCTTAATTGCATCGTTATAAAATGCTGTTAGATCTAATGATGAAAACAAATATACAAGAGCTAGCTACTAGCATGCAGTCTTAACCTGTGCCAACATAGGAATTAGTTAAAGCACTGGAAATATATAGTTGTTCTTGCTGTGTGGGATTTGAGCCACAACTCTTCCTACAGCTTCAGTCACCAACAAAAGCCCAGTATGCTTTCAGATCTGTTATTTGCCACAAAAAAAAAAATTAACATACACTTTTTATACACCATATAGGCTTAATTCCCCCCCCCCCCACTGGTTAGAACTGAATCTAGATTTGTGACAAATTATAGAGATTTTAGGTATGGTTTCATTATATAACCACAAACACACACTAAGCTACCTCAACTTGTTTCCAAACAGTGTTTGAGGAAACAATCATATCCATGTCGTCAGATTTTACTCCCTGGGATGCACAGACTCAGATCACCAAGCAGTCAGCATGCACCTCTGTCTTGCCATGCATGAAGGAAGCAGTACATAGTAGTACGCAACAACGGTCTTCCCTGGTATAAAATTTCTGAGGCCATTTGTAGTAAAAGGAACTTGCCCAGCAGCTGGTCAAGATACACCCTCCCTGTGATGCTGAAAGGAATTATCTTGGAGCAGTACATAAGCTGATAAATCTGTAAATTATTTTGGAGTCTCCCAAATAAAAGTCCTATATTAATTTAAGTTACAGGAGAAAAATGTAAGGTTTGTACAAAGACTGCAGCAAGGCAGTTTGATTTGATTGTGCTATAATTTGAATTAAAATAAAAAAGCAGATACTAAAAAGTAGCTTATGTAATATCTGATATTCCTTCATATGATCAATTAACCATTTGATAGCAAGTCATTAAATATGCAATCATCTTCTGTGAATATATGAATCCATAACCTGAATGTGCAACATTTTACTTATTTTTTTGTCTAGCTTTTGATAGTAAGTACAATTCATACCCATTTTGACTGCCACTGACAAAATTAATGTGTTATCTGACTTAATCATAAAACTTCTGTAAACAGATTTGCATTTCTTAATGCAAGAAAACTCATGAACAAGGGAAATCAAAACATTCTGTAATTACCAGATTCTTTGTAGCATCCCCAATAATGATTTCTGTCTTTCCTTCTTCAACCATTTATCTGCTCCATATTTCCCACAGATGAGCAAACAAAGATCAGATGGGACTGGCCTAACCTGTTCTAATGTGGAAACTGTGCTGGACCATTCAGGTATACATGTATATATCCATACACACACAGAAACCACCCTTAGAGTTCTTTTTTTTATACACATAAACTTTCATTTGCTTTTATCTATTGGTTAACGTTTAACAGCTTTGTGCACCAACTACTTGCCAAAGTTTGGAGGGTCACAGGTCTTTCCAAAACAAAACAAAGCTAACTGTCATGCCCTCACTACACAGAAAGAAGAATTATTAATGATTTCATTACTTTTGTATCACTACATCTTTATTCCCACTTTCATGCTCTCAAATTTCTTTTTTCACAAGGGTACATAAAGACCAGACTCTTTCTGGACTAGGCTTCTTTCTAGAAACTAGAATTTGATGAAAATTCTTCACAAAGGTAACTAAAGTGCAGTTCAGTTATGCAGAAGGATGCAATGCTTGGTAATTCTTAAAAATCACTTTAACACTTTCAGTAAAACAGTTTTCACCACAAATGCAAGAATAACATTGTGTCATACTGCAGTTCTTTAATGACTGACAAAAAAAGGAAAACATACAGTCTTAAAAGAAGCTCTACAAGACTGAACATTTCAGGCAATTTTAAATGCACTTGCTTGCTCAAAATATGGATAACTTACCCCTTACAAGCAGAACCCCCCCCCACACACACATTTTGAACACAACTTACCCTTAAAAGTTAAAGCAACACAGTTTCAAAATTGATTGCAGCATCCCTGATCAGTATTATATCACTATTTTACATCATTATTTCCTGAAGCTCATCATGTCACCAGTTGAACTCTGATTTGTACCCCTTCCCATCCCTTCTTTCTGGTGTATGTCTGGATACCGGCTTACTCAAACTGAGGAGCTGAGGCGTTGAAAAAAACCTGAACACTACAGCTCCCTCATCTGATCTATTCCTGTATGTCTGTTCTGTGTAACAAAAAAAGCTTACAATGTGATCTTCCACTCTGTTCAGCCAAGCTACTGACTGGCAGAGGGGATGCAAACACACATCAGGATAGCAAGCTCCCAGCAGGGCCCTGTATCTTGACTTTCTACTATGCAAGTACATAATTGTCATCAGATTAGAAAGAGACTGTTTTTCAAGTAATTAGGCTTCTCTAACAGTCTTCTGCAAAAGCTGGACATTGACTATATACTCACTTTGATTCCAACTTCAGACTCCCTCAGCATTCTTAGATTAATTTCCTTGCTCCTCTGCCTTTTTATTCAAGTAGCTTCCTTCTAATTGTTGCCCTCCTTTGTCTCAAACAAATGTCTTGCCTGCATCTCTCTGGTCTTTTACAGCTTAGGTCTCTTCTCTGCAGGTATTCTCCTGACACTTTCCTCTCATTGTGCATGTGCTTGAACTGGAAGAATTCTTCTCTCAGTACAGCTATACCTATTTTGGCACCAGTTTAACAGGAAAAAAAAATTTACACCCTTAAGCAAGAAAATTACGGTAGCAAAGCTCAAAAGTATTGACTAGACTTGATGCAGCCATTTAGTGAAGTTTTAAGTAATCTCAGCTATATTATCCCCATCTGGAAATTGTCCTTCTGATCTGGGCAAGAGTCAACCAAGGGATTACAAACCATATACTTAAATAGTTCAGACTCAGCCAGTTTTGCCCAACGTAAACGTGGAAATGCAGGCACACACATTGCTCTACCGGCAAAAGAGTGATAAAGAATGGCCTGAAACAAAACACCTTAAACCAAACCACCTGAATTCACCTGAATTTTTCCTGGTATCATCTGCTTCCTTTGCCTTCATGTACTTCCCTCACTAAACATTTCAGTGCCCACTCTGCTCATTAGGGTTTATTAAGAAGCACCATACGCTACCAAAACATTACCGCTATCCCCAAATGTCACCCCATCACCAATTGCAAAGCAGATGGTAAACTCCCCCACTTTTCTCCCTCCTCCAGAGTCTCCACTCCATCCCAGCTGCATCTCAACTTATAGTTCAGTCTTAATTGGAGATAAAAGCAAGTGCTTCGTTATATTTACTGCAATATTAAATGGTGTTGCTTACTTTTTTCTGTCTTCCAGACTTCTTCTATGCCATAGAAGTCTTGCTGGCACTACTCCATCAGTAAAAACTTGTGCAAAAAAAAAAAAAAAGAGGAAAACAACACAATCTAGCCACAGAGGAACGTCAGCCCCGCACACTCTGCTGACATAAAAACCCCACGGTGACGATCACGGGTCCTGCGGAGCACACAGCCGCTCCAGAGCCTGCTGAGCCCTCCAGCCCATCTCTGCCGCACCGACCAGCAGCAGCAGGCCTGCAAGAGCGGGTGCGTGCTGGCTTTGCTGCAGCACTGCGTCAGGGCAGGGCCTCTTTTTTGAGGTGAATTCCACGGCCTTAGGTGCGGAGGAGCTGCGGCAGAAGCAGGAGCTCGCTAGCGCCCGGCACAAACGGGGATTTCCCGAAAAGCCCTACGCTACGGCCGTTCATAAACCCGTTACAGAACTAGCGCGACTGCAGCCGTTACCCTCTGAGGGGCTTCTCAGCCAGCTGGGCGCCAATGGACAACACCCGCAGGGCGGCGGGGACCCTTAAAGCCCTCCCCGACTCCACCGCAGCCGTTAACGAGCCCGCCGCCACGCCCCCGCTTTAACGGGACGGGGCGGGACGGGGCGGGGCGGGAGTTTCCACACAGAAACGCCGGCTGCGCCCGCCCACCGCTGGCTCGCTCGTTCCCTCACTCAC